GAGGACGCGCAAGAATAGAGGAAGGGGTGGGGCGGGGTGGGGGGTCAAACAAGGTTCTCACCCGAAGAGACTAGGAACGTGGGATCCGGGGGAACGAGGGCCAGGGGGCAGTACATCTTGTTCTGTTGTTCTTCGGTCAGTTACTGTACACTAATTACAAGATCGTAGTCTCTTATTATTGTCATCCACACCACACAGCGCCACGCTTTCGCGCTCGCGCGTACGATCGTCCATCGGCGCGGCGCGGCGCGTCTCGGGTCGTTCGAGTCGTGTTCGCGAGATCCGACGACTTTAGGTCGAGCCGCCGAATCACACTCGGCCGGGGGACTTGAGCTCCTGCGTCGGCGGCAGGCTTCCGCTCGGATGAGGCGACTGGTCGGACCCGCCGGAGGAGGCCGTCGACGAGGAAGATGGCGAGAGGCCCGAGGACGCGGTCGTCAGGAGGACCGCGGGCCCGCCGAGTCCGCCGCCACCGTTGATCGAGAAGGGTTTCACGTTGCCGCTGGCGGAGACCGCCGACGCGGAGGAGGTTAGTATGCTGGGGGCGGTCGAGGGTGGCATCACGCCGCTTAGCCCGCCCAGGGTCCTCGAGTAGGTCTCCAGCAAGGACATGTCGCCGGAGCCGAGATGCGAGGCGCCGTACAGGTTGCGGTAGAAGTCCGGATGCGGCCGGACGAACTGCGTTCCCGTGTGCATCGCGGGGTGCAGGGGGTGGTGAGGTGGCAATCGACTCGCCAGGGGACTCACCAGTTTCCCTCCGCCTCCTCCGCTGCCTCCGCCGCCGGTTACACCGCCTCCGCCGCCGCCGCCGCTGCTGCCGCTGTACGGCGACGACAGACCCGTCATCGTCGTCGGCGTCGGACTCTGCTGCTCGCCGTCCTTGCTCGCCATGTCGGCCAGGGACCAGATCCTGGGCTTCGCGGTGACGCCGCTTCCGGTCGACGGCGCGCTCGTGCTGGGAGGAAGATGATGACTGCTCGGTGACGTGCTCTCCGGGGACGGGTGACGAAGCAGCCTGCCGTGCGGGGAGGATAGGTACGCGGGGTGCTGCAGTTGGAGAGGATGCCTCGGCTCCCTCTGGTCGTACAGACACTCCGGACTGTCGGGACCGCTGTCGGCCCTGGACTCGCTCCATTCGCTCTCGGTTCTTCCCTGGACACCGCCGGAACCGCCGCTCGTGCCCAAAAGTTCCATCCGGTGCGCCGGTCGCTCGCCGTCCTCGCTCGAACCGGTGCCCGAGTCTTTGGAGTCTGGAACAGGGACGGAGCTTGCTTTTAGGGGGCGAGGGGTATGCGGGGCTCGGTGTTCTAGGCGAGCAGAATGCAGCACGTATCGTTTCGGCGACGCATCTTTCGGAGACTCACCTAGTCGATCCTTCTCGTCCACGCTCTTCCTTCCACTGTCGTCGTCTTCGTTGTTGTTGTCCTCGTCCTCCACCCTGTTTCTGGGCTCCCACGTCATCTTGTTCTCCTTCTTGAGACGTCTCCTGGCGTTCGCGAACCACGTCGATACCTGTGTCAGAGTCATCTTGGTGATGATGGCTAGCATGATCTTCTCGCCCTTCGTCGGGTACGGGTTCTTCTTGTGCTCGTTCAGCCAAGCCTTCAGTGTACTCGTGGTCTCCCGTGTCGCGTTTTTCCGTCTCGCGCCGTTCAGGTCCATCCCGTAGCTGCAACACGCAAACGACGACCTCGGTTAAGTCACAAAATCATTCTCCAGAACTATCTAGTAAACATTCTGCAACGTTGCATTAGAATAGCGTGACACAACTGTAGCAGATCGTCTCGAAAGTTTGGACACCCGAACGTTACATCGGTAATGAGAAAAGATGTGTCACCGGTCAAGACACACGCTCGAACCGTTGAATTCCCAAAGTTGGATGGCCGAGCATTCGGTCCCATCTTCGTCGTGTTGTAAATAAAGGAACGGAGCATTGGTCGGGAGACGGTCCAGCTCCAAATTGAAAGCATTAACCTCCGGGGTGGTACGAATAGACGTCCCCAATATCGCGAAGCGAATCGAGGCGGCGAACTGAACAAAGTCTTTAATGGAAACGCTTCGGTGGGAGAGGAGGAAAGGGGGGAGGCACGGACGGAAAGAGACAGCGGGAAGAGGAGAGATAGAGAAGGAAGAGAGGCGGAGGAGTTAGGGTCCATCCTTTTATTAAGTCCTTCGACGTTGGCCGTTCTCGTCGTCGTAGGATGCACGTGACCCGGATATAAGGCGGTCGGGGACCGTACACAAGTCGCGATACGTTATACGAGCAAACTGGATGAGAGAGACACACCGCGATCTAAGCGGGGGTACAGGGGGGCCGGCCGGCAGAGCGGAGGAGTCAGGGGGGGTGGGGGATAGGAAGAAGAAAACGAGGAAGATGGCAAAGTCTCCGGTGGAAGCTCGTGTCGAGAAACTTATCCAATCGTGAGGCTCGTTACGCCTTCCCCCGCCCGGGTCCGGTATAAAAGTCCGAGTCCTGCTCGGTTAGAGGAACGATATAAGCGGGTAGCTACTACTTTCGTCCCGAGAGCAGATCTCTATCTAACGGTTTAAGCTCCTTCCTTCCATCCTGGCCGGGAGGAGTGGAGTGGAAACGAGTACCCCCTCATCCCCTCTGCGCCGACCACTCCTCCGGAGCCCCCCTACCAGGTTCACGAAGTCGGACCAGAACGACCGACCCCGGGGATCCCATTACTAAAAGACTAACCCTTATCAAAGATTAAACTTCGGTATAACTGCTGAATCGACGGGATCGAAATTAAATTTTCCACCGGCGGCCGACTCCCGAGGACTGCGGAGATGCTTACTCCCCCCTGCCACTCGTTTTTTTTCTCCCTTGTCCCACCTCCACTCGACTCTCCGTTCTCTCTTCGTTGCGGTTCCCTTTTCACAATTCTGCCCGATCCGCTCGAAACCTTCTGCCCTTCGACCCTTCGAACTCGCAGACCTTCCGGTTACCGTGGACAACCTGGTCCCGGTGTTTGGTGTCTCCGGACTCGGGGATATTTATGCTAATTGTGATTGTCCTTATTTTCTGGTAATTGAAATTCATGGATAACTTGAAAATTAAGGATTTTATTCTAGATTGTATTTAGGACTGCTTGTTTTATGCTTGAGCGATGATTCTCACGGGCTGCTGGATTTATCCGATGAATGTACAAAAATCTGCTTTGTATTCATGAGACGATGTTACTTCGAAGATCTCGATTAAGTCTTTATATTATATATTTATATATATTAAAAACGAATAGGGTCTCTGGATGCATGACAGGTTCCGCTTTGACTCGATACTCTGGATTTTTCAGTCGTACATTAATCTCGTGTGTTGCTCGTTCTTCAAAGTGAAGTCACAGTTATATTGAAAAGTATTCTACGGTGTTTCGTTTAATAGCAAAATTTCCAATACGGTCCAATAATTACAATGACAGACATTTCGTCCGTAAATTCTCAGTCTACTAAAGCAAACTAACAGCAATCGAGAATTATTCTCGAGACGGAAACTGTCCAAGTCGCAGCCAGCGTCTGTTAAAAGGGTCACTCGGCAGAAAAATCCGAGCAGCCCGGGTCCAGCAGGTCGCAACATCCTGAACGACGAGATATCGTTGCTCGAAATCCCTTCGGAGCCGCCTCGGAAGCGCACCTTTGTCGAGGCTGCGTGACGGGTAGCCGCCATTATTGAGCTTTATTTCCACCCTCTTTCGTTCCGGGTCGCGGGTTCGTGTAGGTAGGTGGGTGTATGTACGTGTGTGTCGACGCGCGGGACTGACGTTCCTGTTGTCGGCGGATCGAGGGGGTGGCCCGCGGAGATGGGAAATTAATAAAACTGTCACTTATCTACCCTTCCCGGGGGCAGGCCTAGCCCGGCTAGCTCTCGCTTGCTGCTCGGTATCTCTGCCGGCTTACTCTCTATCTCCTTCCAGCCCGTATCTTTCGGAGCCGGTTGTTCGGTTGCGGGCGCTCCATCTGTCTTTGTTTCGGCGGGGGTGGTCGCGCGGGATGCGCGGGACTCGCAGCAGCTGAAACGAGGCGCTAAACATTTCAATTTGGCATCAGCCGCTTCCACACCGGGGATGTAGGGAGACGCTCACACGCGCGTTCTCTCCTTCGGCACCACCCCCGCCCCGGCCCCAGGTGTGTGTTTCTCTCTTTCCCGTTGAAACGGCGCCCATCCGGCACGCGGAGGGTCGAAACCTGAGCCCCCGTGCACGCTCGCGAAGAGAGCGAAAGAGACGGAGAGAAAGAGAAAAAGAGAGAGAGAGTGTGTGTGTGTGTGTGGAAGCAGAAGAGGACGATATAGGAGAGAGCGCCGAAGGGAGAGGAGAGAGGATGGCTTAACCCCCGGTCTGTTTGCGAGGAGCAAATGGCGTTCTGCAGTTATTTTAAAATTCAGCCGGTGGCAGGGGGCGCGGATCGGATTAAAAAATCAGAGTGGAAGCTTGTTTCTCATGATAACAGCCAGCCGCCCCCGAGAGCGGGAACTGCTGCTTTCTACCGATTCCGTCTCTCCTATCCCCCGACCCTCGGCCCTCCTCTGTCGAGAGACTATCTCTCCGCCTCTTTCGCGTCCACCTGTACCCTCCCTCTCCGTTTCCTACCCCGCACCGCGCCTTTTTCTCTCTCTTTCTCCCTTCTTCCGGGATCGAGTTTTTCGTTTCTCCAACCGATCTATCTATCGCTCGCTCAGCCTCCACGATATCGCCGCGCCACCGACGTCCACGACAACTTTAACCCTTTCGGTACGAGCGCCGGATATATCCGGCATCCATCCGATGATCAATATGGACGAGTGCCGAATACATCTGGCATCCATGCAAGCCATATTTCTGACATATTAGAAACTATTCTAATAACCGTTTGAGTCCCAAGCAGCGCTATCACGCTGTTCGGCATTTTTCGACCGTGTTTTCTGAATAATCCCTGGGACTCAAACGGATAAAGTCTTTTCTTACAAGGATTCCGAAAAAACAGCTACAGGTATAATTGTCGTTCGATCTGAATTGATTTAAAAAATTTCAGGTTACATTTTTCTTCGAAACTTGTTCATAGATTTTAACATATTGTAGGCCCTTTACAGAATGTTTACGGGAATCATTTAAAGAAAGATTTAGAAACGGATCAAGCACAGTCGTTACTTAACGCTTAAGAAAATCTTCGTACAAAAGTGGACCGACCCTGCGTTATATGCGCATTTTCGGCGCGGCACCCCGTACAGTGGGAGTGTCACGGCGGACAACGTACCGAAAGGGTTAAATACGCCCGGTCAAGCCGCTGGAATATTTTAGATCTGTCGCCTATCCATGTATGCGCGGATCCTATTATACACATATTATACTCTTATATATATGATAGCTGAGAGAGCCAGCAGATTTCGCGCGAGAAGCTGATTCGATCGAAGCTTGTTTCCACAGTGAACGGCATAATCGACTTCGTCGATGCTCTTTCACGTCCATCGAAAAGAGTGATGCTATCGAATGATCTTTTCCCGGGACAGCTGCTGATTACTTAGCCGTAGACGATGCTTGATTAAATGTATAGAAGGTGGCCGGCGTTTTATTTTATTCGACCTGTCGATACGGTTACTCTATCGCCGGAAGTGGTAGATTGGAACCAAACAGAGCGGCGAATTATTCAGCATTGGTCCATTTTTAGAGCTTTCATTGTACGGCTTCTCTGCGGTTCCTGCGGCGATGGTTCCTTTCAGTTTTTGTTTTTAGAATTTAAGTTGAACAATTTGCGTGTTCAGAATTTTGGAGTCTAGTTTGTGTTTGATTGTAAGTAGTTCTTAAGAATTTGTTGAAGAAACGGTGATCAATATTGTAATAGAAATTGTAATAGAATAAATATTGTAATAGAATAAATAATCTTATCTTCAAATACACGTCTATATGCGTATTCAAAGAATGTACTCGAATGTTTAAAAATTATAATAATAATGAATGGCTGAATTTGAACCCGTACGAAGATTTAACCTTTTCGATTTAACGATCCGATTATAATACAGTTTTTAGGAACTTCTCAAAGAAGAGTATCGAGTACCATCATTTGAAACTTGACGCGTCTGTAAATTACAAAACTGAAAATGATAACAATTTTCTTCAGAGTTACAGCGATAGTAGCCGTTTAGACATACATAAGTCGACTTCGTAGGGTAGATTTCTGTCCGATTCTAAAACTGCGAATATCTGTGCAATTTTTATATTTAGAAATGATTGTTCTAGGAAAAATAAGAGATTGATACATCTTCGACGATACAATAAAATATAATATAATATTTATTGTATACCTGAATATATATTTTATTTATTTACTCGAATGATACAGCAGCAATAGTACGGCAGTTGAGAATACAAATATTAAGCGTGAGATAGAAATCCCCGTGGAAGTTTGATTCTATTCGTGTGACACGGTAGAGGTGGCCATTCGCACCCCCAAGACATGAAAACAGAAAGACCGAACCAGAGGTGCAAAACAGGCCTATAGTCGATCGACCATCAAAGTCCACCGAATCGGCCATTTCCATCGCCCTTTCCCCCTCGCGTTTACGTTAAACGCGTCTGTCAAGGCGTAGCCTTTAAGGGGGATAAAACCGGAGGGTGAGTGACCATGGCCAGTTCGAAACGAGGCAGGTGTGCGGCTCGCGCGACTCCGCCCCTCGTTACCACTCGTAACTAG